ATTCCCAAGAGAGGGTTACTGTGTTGTCAAGAGAGAAAAACTAAACAAGCCAGACATCAAAAGCTATAGCTACTGACTTTGACGTTAAGAGTCCTTTCTATATGAAATTGTATAATTCCAAAGAAATCCAGGTGGGAGTGTTCCAAGGTCCTTGTGTTGATGGGAAGGAAGGACAAACACTGGACAACTTTATGCTTTGTTAAATATATAAGTCGAAATTTAGTGGGGTCTCTAACTTCCAAACCAATGGAAGGGGGAGAATGAAACCAAAGGAAATGAACGAAAGATCTCAATACAAAAAAAGAGAGGAGGAGAACAAGCAAAGCATAGAAAAAAGTGAAACAAATAACAAATAAGATGCTAGAAATGAATTCCAATATATTGATAACAAAAATCAATGTAAATCATGGTACCGTTAAAAAACAGATTAATCTAAATATGATGTCTAACATTACATCCATATATTGGAAAACTATGAGAAAAAGCAAGAAGATGATTAGCACAAAATGTATGATATGTTTATTTCCACAGGAGAGAGGGCTGCTGGGGTAGGCACCCAGGAGGCTCCAAAGATATGATAGGGTTCTTTTAAGTTGGGTGGTAAGTAAACAGGTATTACTCTTTATTCTTTTAATCATTACTTTTTAAAGTTCACATATATTTTAAGTAGTTTTGTTTGAATAATATAGTACACCCCCCGCATGTGTGCACATGCACACCACACTCAATAAAAGGATAAAAGTAAATTGCCGTTTTTCTAAAACCTCACTCTCATAGTATTAGATGTGAATTTTTAAATGTGATTTATTTTCATTTTTTAATGAGGTGATTTTTTGTCATGAAAGTTTTCTCCCCAGCACAAAACTCTGTTTTGAATTAATCACATGACCCAACACTCCAAATAAGTCTTCAAATAGATACCATTTGTCATAATATGGTAATTCCTACATATTTTCTCTTTCCATTGAATTACATAAAATAATTCATTCAATCAGAACCTTGTAAGCGTTTTATTGAGCAATGATTTTGTGTCTGTTTTAATCATTGTATTTGAATTAATCCATTGAATTTTTATAAAAACGCTTGGAAATGGTACCAATACTGCCCTCATTTTAAACCTGAGGTAACTACAGCATGGAGAAGTTAGGTGATGTGTTCAAAGGCACACAACTGATCGGTGGCAGAGCCAGGATTTGAACCCAGACAGCCTGTCACCAGAGCCGTGTTCCTGTTCTTAAGCTAGGCTGCTGAGCTGTGGGCCACAAAACGTCTTACTACTAAAGAGAGTGAAGGAGGAGTGGGAAGTACCTCGGCACTTCAAGGGCGCCTCCATAGTATGTCATGTCTGACTGTGAAGTTGCGTATATCACAATTATGTCATTCTTTGGTTTGTTAAAGGAAAGATTTTTTTTCTTCTGGCCAGGAAAGGAAGAAAGGGAGGGAGGGATGGAGGGAGGAAGGAGGGAAGGAATCCAACAAAAATATTGGCTGATTGATTGGCTGGCCGTGGTGTCAGAAGAGAAATAAAAACCTGCTGACCTTATCTTTATGCTGTTTCCATGAACAAGAAAAGGCAAATCTTCTTTGACAGAACAGCCCAAACATACTAGTCAGCTAAACTAGAGAACAGGTGCTTCAGAGATGTTGCCTTGAGCAGATGCTCTCCAGCAGTTACCCTGGGAAACAGCTGATCCAAGCCTCTTCCACCTGGAGGCCAAGATTTCTCTCCAAACACATCTCAGAGAGATGCACAGTTTATCTAACAGTTCATTCTTTGAGGGGTTTTACTGTATGTCAACATTTAAATATAAGAACTCTCCACACAGCCTCACACCCTGGGCTCTGTAATCTTGGAGAATTCATAGAGAATGTGGAGATGTCAGGAGTATACAAATGGGTAACTGGACTAATTCTTAAAAGTGAGGGGAGGGTGTGTGTGCGTGATAGATCCTGGAAAATATATATCAGTCAGTACCCTACCAATCTGCATAAATTCCAGAAAAACTAAAAGGAATGTATTTAACCTCAATGCTCAGACTATGACTGCTGAGAACAAGCAGGTTTCAAAGAAGAGCTTGTGCAAAGCCCAGATTACTTAAAAAAAAAAAAAATCTTGGCATTAACAAATATGAATGAGTCCAGAGGTATCCATCTTGGAATCAGTAGACAAAATTAGTATGTGTCTCCTGGAGAAAAGGCTGAAGAAATACACAAAGTGTTAACCATCTTCAAAAACCTGAAAGGCATCACATAGAGGAAGCATAGACTTTTCCTGGGCTATTCCAGAAAGTCACATGAAACAAATGGAAGAGTACAACAGACAGAGTTTGGATGCAAGCCTTTTTAAGTAAATGAAGGTATATATATATATATTTTTTTTAATTATTATTATTATTTTTTGTAGATGAGGTCTTGCTCTATTCCCCAGGCTGGAGTGCAGTGGCACAACCTTGGCTCACTGCAACCTCCGCCTCCTGGGTTCAAATGGTCCTCCTGCCTCAGCCTCCCAAGTAGCTGAGACTAAAGGTACCTGCCACTATGCCTGGCTAACTTTTGCATTTTAGTAGAGATGGGGTTGCTCCATATTGGCCAGGCTGGTCTCGAACGCCTGACCTCAGGTGATCCACCCACCTCAGCCTCCCAAAGTGCTGGAATTATAGATGTGAGCCACCATGCCCAGCCTACGTGAAGGTATTTAAGAGAAGAACCCATTGTTCAGCAGGTGAAGAGCCTCCCTTGACCTGGGCATTTCCTTTGCCTGGATTGTCCTGAGATGTACAAACGGAAGGTCTTTTTCCTATGAATGAAAGATAGGGCTCAGCAGCTTCTGAACTCTTTTCCAAGTAGGAAACTGCTAAATTCTGTGAAACTGTGGCTTTTAACTCATCATAAAACTCAGACAAATTTGACTTGTTTATTTCTTAGACACAGTTATCAGGTGGTATGGCTAAAAACTTACCAAGATGGATTCTCAAGCTGGTAGTTCCAAACTTGGCTGTCCATCCAGTTCTTTTGCTTGTTTCAAACTAGTCTGAATAAAACAAAAAAACCTGTCTGAACCTGTCACATTGATTGCACACCAACTAACGAGTTCTGACCCACCACTAGAAAAACCCAGACCCAACCTAAAGTCAGTCCTCAGTTTACAGCTGAGGAAGCTGAGCCCAGGGTGATGACATGGGTCTCCCAGAGTTGTTCAGAAAGTGAAGAATTAGGATCCAAATCTCTGATCTCTTATCTCCAAGTCCAGTTCTTTATTCACATATATCAGCCAGACCAAAAGCAATACAGAGCAGAGAAAAAAAGGAACCACTGCTGAACTATAATTATGAAATAAAGAATTCAACCCTCCTGCTAGCTAGTAAACATCTATGTTTTGTGGAAACAGCACCTCGTGATAACTGCTGCTCAGTGAACCCACCACACTGTTGGGTACCACTTTCCTCTGATCCTCACAACCACCTCTCACATAGTTGGGTTTATTAACTTTATTGTATAAAGGAGGGAATGGAGGTTGAGAAAAGTGAAGTAATCCCCATAATTTAGGTTGCTCATAGGCTGGGCTGTGCATACGTGTCTGACCCCAAGGCTCATGGCTCTTCCCTTCCTTACACTGCCTCTCTATAATCCTTGACTTGCCCTGCTTAGAATTATATCTCTTAGAAGTAAGAGAAGGCAACAAGGGAAATACTGTGCAGAACTAATTCTAACCAGCAGAGCAGTTGGTGATATAATTTATAGACTTGCTTGTTTATCATCTCCTCTGTTAGTATTTTAGCTCCCTGAGTGCATGGCCTTCACCTCGTCCACTGTCTAGTTCAGCTCCTGGCACATTGTAAGCTTCAGGTGAATATTTATGAATGAACAAGCAAGTGCATTTAGAAATGACGAGGACATTCAACGAAAGCAACCACATCATACTACGGAGGTGGGTCACATAGTGACCCAGAGCACAGCCTGTGGGGAAAGATGGCCTCTGTTCAAAATCGTGGCTCTTAAGAGTTATTTGATCACAGGGAAGTTACTTAACTTGCCCTGTGCCTCAGTTTCCTGGGGATAATAATGCCAATGTCATAGTATGGTCCTGTGAGTTAATGAAGGAAAGCATTTGCACCAGTCCTTGCTCATAGTAAGTGCCGTATAGGTTAGTCGTTATTGCTATCTGAGGTTATGATAATAGTAGGGCAATAGTGGACTCATGTCTTATAGGAGAAAAATATCATGAAATTTAGAGGTAAGGTAAGTATGATCCTGTAGCTAAAGACTCAGAAGAGATTACTGTTCATGTTCAATTGCAGAGTCTGAAAAGTAGATTTCTAACTGTCTCATCATGAAAGATTTATTTCTGACCAAAAAATCTAAATGTAGAGCAGATGATTATGCAGATGGCCCATGAATATGTCAAAAAGAATATAGTGCTTACTAAGCATCCACATGAATTTATGAAGAATGAAATTTATGAGAGGTAACTTAGTTAAACCACTAGCAGAATGACATAGACTCATTGTGTCTTTTTTTCAAGGGCGCATTTAGAAAATCTGATTTCAAGAACAGCAGAATGTAGGGTGAAGTGTGGGAGCCCTGGAGTCAGAGTTCTCCCCTCATCTCCCCCTAGAATTGGGCCTTGGTTTTCTTGTCTGTCCAATATGGATAATGAGTACAGCAGCCTCCCAGTGTGGTTCAGAGAACTAACAGAGATCATGCATGTGCAATGCCTCCTAAGCAGAATGCAAATGTGAGCCTCTCATAATCACAAGACATGGGTAAGCAGAAAAGAAATTGAAATGAAATGTGGCTGATAGTCAAGGAGGCTCCCAGTTATTTGCCTGTACCAAGCCCAGGTCTTCAATGCTCAGATGGTAGGTGGAAGTTTGCTTTGCAGTCGTCAAAACAGATCGTGAGGGTCCCTTGACGTCACTGACTGAAGGCTGGGAGAGAAGAAAACCTGAATAAGCAGCCTAAGGTCTGAGCATGTGTTGCTTCCTCTTCTCTCCTTGCAGGGGCATTCGTGGTATGCTGGACCCCGGGCCTGGTGGTTCTGCTCCTGGATGGCCTGAACTGCAGGCAGTGTGGTGTGCAGCACGTGAAAAGGTGGTTCCTGCTGCTGGCACTGCTCAACTCCGTCATGAACCCCATCATCTACTCCTACAAAGATGAGGACATGTATAGCACCATGAAGAAGATGATCTGCTGCTTCTCTCAGGAGAATTCAGAGAGGCGTCCCTCTCGCATTCCCTCCACGGTCCTCAGCAGGAGTGACACAGGCAGCCAGTACACAGAGGATAGTATTAACCAAGGTGCAGCCTGCAATAAAAGCAGTTCCTAAACTGTGGAGACCTCTCCACCCACCCAGGCCTCCTGTGGGAAAAGAGCTGTTAAGAATGGTTACCTGTCTCTAACAAAACCCATGTACAGTGTTATTTGAGGTCTCTATTAATCAATGCTAGATTTGCTTTAAAATTTGCTTTTCGTGGTTTGAAAGCATGGGCAGTAAAGAGGACGTGGTGCATTTAGAGAAAGCACAGAAATGGGAAAGGCACAGCCAGTCCCTGCTTGTCCTGTGAACTGCTTGGAGCTGCTGCCAACCCAGCTGGGCCTTCTGGGTTCTGGTGCCATTTTGTAACCATTCTCCTTGTGTTTTAAAAGGATGTTATGAAAGAGTTTAGACCAAAATAAATAAATAATAATGTTACTTGAGCCATCTTATATAGCTGCTTGGAAAGTCTATGTAGTTCTTTCTGCATGCATTAAGAATGTTTAGAAATGCTTCAGCAGTGGTATTTTTTTCCTCCAAGAAACCATGGCCAGTAGTTCAGTAGGAATCGAAGAAAAATCAGTAAGACCTCCAGATTAAGCCTGATATTTAACTGAAGGAAGAGTCCAAGGAAAAATACTTAAAAATAACAAAAAAGGTCAATGTGAAAACTCTTTTTGACCTGAAAAAGGCCTTGGTATGGTCTTCCATGAATGTGTGTGTATATGCATGTGTGTGTGTATATATACATTTTTTCTGTTTTTACTGATTTTTATTGATTTAATTCAAAGATACCTGGGGACGTGATTAGGGAATGCTTAGTCTGACTATTGGAACGAACACGAATCCCTGGAATATTTCAGATATGGGGTTACCGCCCCAGGCTGCCTCTCATTTTCCCGCATGATGATGAAAAACAGTGGGGAGCTAGTGAAGGGTTTAATGCAGAAAACAAGAAGAGAACGTGAAGTTTGAAGTGCCTGTGGAACATCCAGCTGATAATCTTCCTAGTAAGAGAAAAAGAAGCCAAGAGAAGACCAACTAAACAGGAGCAGGTAGAGAAAAACCAGGAAAGGGACAGAGGAATAAGACGACCAAAGAATGTGTTAAGAATCAAGGAGAGAGGCTGGGCACCGTGGCTCACACCTGTAATCCCAGCACTTTGGGAGGCTAAGGTGGGAGGATCACTTGAAGCCAGGAGTTTGAGACTAACCTAGGCAACATGGTGAAACCAACCCCGTCTTTACTAAAAATACAAAAAATTAGCCAGGTGTGGTGGCACATGCCTGTACTCCCAGCTACCTGGGAGGCTGAGGCACAAGAATTGCTTGAACCCAGGAGGTGGAGGTTGCAGAGTGAGCCAAGATCGCGCCACTGCACTCTAGTCTGGGTGACAGAGCGAGACGCTGTCTCAAAAAAAAAAGGAGAGAGAATGTCAGGGAGCGCATGTGTGTATTTAAACAACTTAACTTTGCATTTAAAGACTGAAAGGACAGTGATGGTGAAGTCAGTTTTCGGGCCACCTAGACTTTCCAGTCTAGGACTAGAGCTGTAGCAATGATCTGTGTGGTGTACAAGAAAAGAGAGAGAGGTGTTCATTTAAAAACAGATGCTTTTGTACATCAGAGTAAAAGCTGTATTGATAATATACATAGGAATCCCTTTCCTATGTAATGAAATACGAGCTTGACTCCAGTCCTTATCTTCAGTTACCTCTATACCAACTGGTGGCTTGCTGGATTTAGCATGTAGAATAATTTCACATCTCATATTTTGCCCAAGGTTAATGGCATACTTCTGATACCTGGCTTACATGTGAACTGAATTTTGTCTGGGTTACATTTTGAATTTTTCTCCTTCCGAGACCTGAGTAGGCAACATGAAAGGCAAGTCAGTAAGAAAAAAAAAAATGTTTCATACACATAGGCTGTGCTGACCAGAGTTTTCTATGTAAAAAATTTAGAGTGTATTCTGATTTAAAATGAGGATAACTTCAAGGCAGATATTATAATATTTATGTAGTTTGCAAAACAAGTTTACATTTTTTTGCTATTGTGATATAACATTTATGTGCAAGAACTACTTGTAATAAAAGGATTTGAGAAGTCATGCTTTTAAATATAATAGCCTAAAATAGTATGATGATTTGAAAGTGTAGATTTCACAAACTCTGTATAGTATGTGGGTCTATCTGAAGCTTTTATCGAAGCTACCTATAAAATAAAATTTAAAAAGATCTGTTGTCTCTTGTTGAGGTGCATTATTGCTTTGTGTATTTTCTAAGTAAAAATACAGTTTGTGGCAACTATAGCACAAATTTCTATTGCAGAAGAAAAATCAAATTTGCCATGAAATACATACCCTGGATGTTTTATGTAAGCCTTTTGAATCTACAGCTGGCCAAAGGGTAGAGAATTGAAATTGACTTCCAGTCCCCAAATAGCTACTAAGGGATCTTTGAAGGTTTTATTTTGAGGAAAGAACCATTTTTAGTACCCTGTAGCAGAGTGTCATATTCAGAATGGTGTCTGGAGGGGGTCCAAAGTGTGGAAACTCAGGGTCGAAATATATAGTTTTTGTTTGTATGCACACACACACATCTCAGCAAGGGCGCAAGAGTAGAGAAGTCGGAAATGTTTAGAAATGACAAGCGGCAGGGGTCACAGAGCTCACCAAGGACCTTTGATAGACCTGGCCCTTTCTGTGTGTTTGTGTGTTCTCAAATTCTAGGATCCAAAGCTTATCTGCAGGTTATTCATCTAGACCTCATCAGACCAGCTCTTGACCCAAAGCAGAGGCTACTTCCCAGGTAAATGAGATTTAATTTTCTTCTTAGATTTGTAGCACGGTATAAGGTGTTCCGATAAATCTGTACAGTGAAAGAATTTAGTAGTTTCTGAAGATAGCTTGCTTGCAAAGAAATAATCTTTTGGAAATAAATTGTTTCATTTTTGGTGAATTTCTTTTTCAAGTGAGTAGTAGACCTGGAACCAGTTTGTGACCATGGAAATGATTATGGCACCACCCTGCCCCCATTCATGTAATTCCAAATAAAAACAATACTAGACGGTAAAATAAATGTAAGCCTCCAATGAAGTTAATTTTCCTCACACTCAGCACTTTGATGCTTTTTATAAATACTAACTAAAATTTAGAAATTCTGGTGCTCCAGCTTCATTGGCATACTGAGCACATGCTCAGCCCGTGGCTGGATGGCCCAGGACCAAGGACCTGGTGGAGTCAGCAGCGGCAGGATCAGGCGGTGCTGGGGGTGCAGTTCTATTCATCTGCAGATGTCACCCCACGCAGACCACACAGCGTGCCATGCTCCATGTTTGTAGACTAGTGTTCCTCCTGAGCTTGAGAGTGTTTTGTTTAGCTCATTAATCCTCTAATCATTCTGGGAAGGGGGCAATAAGATTACTTGGCTCTCTTTTCTAATTGATTGAGCGGACATAATGAAGGTGAGGCCCATGAAGATGCCTGTGAAGGTGACTTAGTGACAATCTCTGGCCCTGGTAGTGCCTAGAGTAGAAACACATGATGATGCATGTCACTATATACTAAAAGGAATTAAAAACATGCAAAAACAGAGCTCACATCTAGGAGACTCACCAGAGAATTATAACCCTTTGTGGGCCACAAAATATGGTGTTAAATTGGAAACCCCTAGGGCTCCTTCCAATTTTACACATTGTCTTTCAGTCATAGGAGTAAAGACCAGAAGAGTTTTTGAAGTCAGGGAAGATGCATTTTTCTGTGAGGGATGCCCTCCTGAACACATCACATGGTTTAAAATACAATTTAAGGCTAGTTTTCACAGAGAAATAAACATTAGATGGGAGATGCTGTTGGTGTGGGTTATTTTCTTTTTTTGGCTTTAATGCTGAATTTTATCTTTACAGCATTCTTTTCAGTGCTTTTTGGTGTGTGCTCGCTCCTAAATTAACAGATGGTAAGCTACTAATGGCAGTTGTTAGAGGTTAAGAATGTTATATTATCTATAACTTGTGAGTTAAAGGTTTATAGTACAGGCTGGGCACAGTGGCTCATGCCTGTAATCCCAGCACTTTGGGAGGCTGAGGCAGGCAGATGATCTGAGCTCAGGAATTCAAGACCAGCCTGGCCAACATGGAGAAACCCACCCTGCCTCTACTAAAAATACAAAAATTAGCCAGGCATGGTGGTGCATGCCTATAATCCCAGCTACTTGGGAGGCTAAGGTAGGAGAATCGCTTGAACCCAGGAGGTGGAGGTGGCAGTGAGCTGAGATCATGCTGCTGCACTCCAGCCTAGGTGACAGAGTGAGACTCTGACTCAAAAATAAATAATTTAATTAAATACAAGTTAATAGTGTGAATTAATTTAATTAAATACAAGTTTATAGTGCAAATAATAGCACACTGGTCACTGGAATCACACGCAGGCAGGTTCCAGTGTACATCAATACAAGTATGGGTCATATCATACTAAGGTAATGCAGTGCCTTTGCATAACAGTCCATGAATGTGGTTTGCAATTCAGTGTACCAGCCTGTTTTAGAAATTGCAGTTCTTGGCAGTCATTTAGAAAGTTGCAATTTTATGCAGCAAAACTTTGTAATTTTTATTGTTATCAGCAATTTCAACTTTGTATAATTCAAATTTTCTTAAAATCCGTCTGTATTATATTTTGTTATTGAGATTAGAGCCTCTACACTGTATATTTATAATAAGGTATATGAAAGAAAAACGTGCCACAAGCCCATGTTACATCTTTTTGGATATTAGAAAAACGATATCTCTTCCTCAAGACACTTGCATCTATTGGAAAAACTTCACTGCTACCAGCCAGAAAACTCTGCTAATACATATGCCTGTCCACAGTACGATTGATATGTGGAGATAACACATCAGACTGAAGTTCAAAACACCTGTATTCTGGTTTCTGTTCTGCCCTAAACTGCCGAAGAAACTCTAGATATGATTGCTGATCTCTTAAATGAGAAGCTTAAATTCAATGATCTATAAGGACCTTTTCAGCCCCAAAATTTGGTTTTGTGCATCATCTCCCAAATGTGAATCCTGGAAAAGAGACCCAAGTCTTTGGATTCTGTCCATTTAACCCTTTGCATAGAGATTTCAAAGAAGAGGAGATCTGTTTTCATTTACTGCAGTGGTTCTCAAGCTAAGCTTTAGTGTGCATCAGAATTACCTAGGGAGACAACCTAAAATCTATACACTTTAGGCAGGTGCAAGATGTGTCATCATAAATTCATCATCAATACAGGGGAAAAAGGATTTTCAAAATAAAACAGAACCACTATCCCATATGGAAAACCTAAGAGCTTGATGATTTACTTACGTTTCCTGAGTAAACTTAATTTGATATGTGTGAGCTGCTGTTTACTCCATCAAGCCAAACAGAAAACCACATATTTGTTTTACATTTAATTTAACCAACATCTTTAGAATATTTCCTAGGTGCTGGAGACCTACCCCCCAAAAAAACCTGCTCTTAAAAGAATAAACAAAAATC